CACTGTGCACCACATTTTACTGAAAGTTCTCAACATCCAGCACCACCACTTGTAGGTCATGTTTCTTCTCCCAACACACCTTTTACTCTGGGTAGCTCGGAGCGGTTGGTTGCGAGCTGTTGCTTTGATGCTGACAAAACCTCAGACGTGTACTGCCACTCAGAGGAACCATCAGAAGTGCAATTTCCTTTTCCAGAACCGCACTCACCCACGTCTAAGTGAACGAAATAATACAATTGTCGCAGCGCCGTGGTGGTCCCAAGCTCATTGGTGCAAGAAACTGGACTGCTTCTGGCTCTGCCGCAAGTCCTGTGACCTTTTTTCAGAACCTTGACCTTGAGACCTTGAGACGCGGTACGTTCAAAATTTAACCTCACCATCGGTTTTTGTATTCCCACAAGTTTTATACTTACTTAGCTCCAATTATTTCCTTCCAACCCGCAAAAATCTTTTTATCATACCGTCATACCATTCAATGGTTGACAAAACGTCGCTCGGATCCTCCGACGAGGACACCCTCCCAATGAGGTTAGATGAATCTGTGATGGTTGTGGATAAAACTCTTTCACAGGTCGAAATGCTAGGTATCATTCAGGAACAGGCTTTAGATCTAGGGAGGTTGGAGGCTGAAGTTAACGCTCTCGGTGACCAGGTCGCCAAACTGAACGCTCCTATGTTGAACTCCCCAGTTCACTTGGCGGCAGACCGAGCGATCAAAGTCTCCGAGCAGCAAATACTAGATACAGCAAGCCTGTTACAGGCAGATGCGACTGCCTCGAAAAGGGTTATCTTCTGGGGACATTCCCGAGCTCTTTGACCCCTCAGGAAATGACGAAGTTAATCTTTAAACATTTGGATACGACAGTTTTCAAGCCCGGCAAATGCTTGTGGCTTATTCCGAAGAAAAGGAAAACTCCCCATGGCCACGTAGTAGATATGGGCTTCCCTTCTACAGCCCGTAAGCTCATCACATTTGCTCCTTTCCTGAGACGATCCTGCAAGGGTCTTAGAGGGGTGTCAGCCGATAAACCCCTTCACCTTAGGCTCCCTGCTCCGAAACAGAACGCCCCCTCTTACCCATCGACAGACTCCAAGCTTCTCCGAAGCGCCTTCGTACCGGTCATACGTCTGGAAACTGACGTGACCCACTCANCTCACAGCCCATCTCACCCTATGTTTTCCCACTAAACGAGACAGTGGTCTGCCTCAAGCCAGTAGCACGCTGCTCGGCGAACACAAGTCTATGCTCTGCGCACTCAGAGATCAACCGCAGAGAAAAGACGTCGGTGCTCACGGTCCCCAGGACCACAATCCAGATAACACAAACCCGATCCAGAGCGATCAAGGCCCCTTGGAGTAAAAAAGGCCCACTGGGTGATCCCCTCGGCCTAGAAAGCAACACAATTAAAGAGAAAAAATCGCTCCAGATGCCTGTTAACACCGCACATAAACTCAAGACTGTCCCTCCAACCCTCCCGAAGCCTACCAAATTTTTTAAAGCTGTTTTCTTCCTCCCAACTTCCGTATCCTCCCCCAACACGAAATCAACTTTTCGGATGTGGGCTCCGGAGGGTCGCCTTCCAGAAAGGCGGCCAAACCAAGTTCGCCCATTCGGGAAACCCCCGCCCTTCCTGCACGCAGGTGTCCAACAGAAACTCCGACAGACAGCACCCAGGGTTCCTCCCCTTATGTCCCCAACAGCCCAACCCATCCACACCCTTCAACACCTTCTCCCCTTTCTTCGCCTCATGATGAGCGAATTTTCAAATGCTTTTATTGCAACTGCCTCAGCCTCCCCAAGAAGATTCTAGAATTGAGGCAGCTTGCACCAGACAATAACCCAGACTTTTTACTCCTGACAGAAACCTGGCTCGCGGCTGACTTTGCCGAGGGCGAAGTAACCGTACCAGGCTATTCCCTGATTAGAAAAGACTACACCCGCGGAAGAGCAGGTGGAGTTATAATTTATTTTAAGAACAATCTCCCTCCTTCAATCTTCATAAACACAAATCCTATCCCTCTCATAGATAGTCTGTGGATTTGTTTTCAGATCTCCAAGACGAACAACTTCCTCATATGCCTAGTCTACCGCCCACCACAATCCAGTCTGCTAGAAAACCAGCTCCTGATAGAC